CAAGGTTAAATTTAACTACTTTGTGCCTTTGACCCTGGGAAAATTCACACCCTTGCATTAGAGGACTGTCACAGTGGAGGTTTAGGACCTCCAGCATTGAAGCGGTCTCCACCAAAATAGCCTAAGAAAAGGAAGGGACCATCTTTATAATTCTGCTTGTGTGTGCATGCACCTGCACATACACAAGGATTTATTATAAGGAACAATGCACCATATACGTGCATAGCCCAATAACCTAATACAAATGAATCATAACTAGCTGGAGGGAGAGATCCTGAGTAATGATGATTGCAAGGTCTTTATTTTAGGTCTAGATTGTGAACCCACTATTCCCCTTAGCAAAAACAGTTAATCGCATACGTAGTCCCGTTAATTTCAATGGACTTACTCACATGGGCAAATGCTCATCACTGGGAGTAAGGTTTTACAATCTAGCCCCCATTCCCAACAGTCTCTCCCCCCTCATTCTTCTGTAGTAGAAATATCTTCATGCAGACAGGTGGTTTAGTGCGCAGAAGTTAATAGGACAATGAAGGAAAGACATGTGGAGGTGTCACACTAAACTTTATTTACATTCTCAACCGTGTTGACCAGCCTCCATTTTCCATTAAAGATGAACTGAAGGGATCATTAAATAAGACACTGATGACTATCCTTGTATGGTGTTTTACATTTTAGAAGTCACTGTACAAACTTTGGCCTGGTCTACACTTAAAACTTGACATTAACTATGTTGGTATAGTTAAATCAGCAAACCCCTCTTGCAGAGACCCAGTTATCTTGCTTATGCTGATGTAGCTTATGCTGGCTCAACAAAGCAAAATAGGCTTTACCAGCCTAAGACACTTTAATACCAGTATAGGTGCATATACACTAGGTTTGTTTTTTGCCAGCACAGCTATATCAGCAACACACTCCCCCATCCCCCAATAGACAGGCTATGCCAGTAACACGAATGTAGATGATGCTTTGAACCAGTTAGTCTCAGACACCCTTGTTAAGTAGGCAAGTAAAACCTCCTTGCTTCTAGAAAAAACTAGAATGAGTGACTAAGTCAAAACCAGAGACCTTTTGACCCACACTCCTGCCTCTTAATGATTAATCAGTTAAATAAATGAATGAATGTAATAATTGGGAAAAAAAACCACAAAGGCATTTTGTTTGCTTTTACAAGGGAGGCAGCGTTGTCTACAGCAGGGGTGGGAAAACTTTTTGGTTACATCTGGGTATGGAAATTGTATGGCAAGCCATGAATGCTAATGAAATTGGAGGTTGATGTGTGGGAGGGGATGAGGGCTTCGGCTAGGGGTGCAGATTCTGGGGTGGGGATGGGGACAAGGGGTTGGAGTGCAGGATGGGGCTCTGGGCTGGGACTGAGGGGTTTGAAGGGCGAGGGGGGAGATCAGGACTGGGGCAGGGGGTTGGGGTGCAGGAGGGGGGATCAGAGGTGCAGGCTCCAGGTGGCGCTTACCTCAAGCAGCTCCTGGAAGCAGTGGCATGTCCCCCCTCAGGTTCCTATGCAGAGGCGCAGCCCCTGCAGCTCCCATTGGCCGTAGTTGCCGGCCAATGGGAGCTGCAGGGGCAGTGTCGGAGCCCCCAGCTGCCCCTACATGTAGGAGGCAGAGGGGCGACATGCCACTGCCTCCGGGAGCTGCATGGAGCCCCAGCATGCGTGGAGTGGGTCAAGCCCCAGACCCTGCTTCCCGGCTGGAGTGGGGCAAGCCCTGGACCCCACTCCCCAGCTGGAGCTTGAGGGTCAAATTAAAATGTCTGAAGGGCTGGATGCAGCCATCGGGCTGTAGTTTGCCCACCCCTTGTCTACAGGGAGCAGGAGATTGTGTTCTAGTCCCACTCTGCCACAGAACTGCTAGGACAGTGGGCAAGTTGTTAGCTTTGGTGTGGCTTCTCCTCCCCCACCTCCCTCCTGGGATAACGTTAATGACTGTAAAAAGTTCTCCCTCTGATGGAAGAAACCACAGAAATGTAAACTTTTTTTTTTGTTTTGTACTCCTTCCTATCCTATTTTTTTCCATGTGAGCAGTTGCTGCACCTGCCATAAGGGAATTCTGGGTTTGTAAATGGAAGAGTGTGTGTACTGCGG